TTTTTTTTTTTTTTTAAGAGAGATTTTTGCTATAGGGCACATGTGTTTGCTGAAGAGACAGAAAGACAGAAAGTGAGAAATCACCCCCTTGGTGGGGGCTGTCCACACTGCAGTTCCTTTTCCCTCATTCTCCTCTCAGAATCTTGGGCACACTTGCACACATGCCCTGTGTGAGTTCTTTATTTATTTTTATAATTTTTATTTTATATCATTTAACTTTATTTATTTTAATTTGCCCAGAGAGGGATAGAGAGAAAGTGAGAAAGCAGACTGTCAAGTCAAGGACTCGAACCACGGTCAACCATATGAGAGTCCAGTGCCTTTAACTACCATGCCACCTCCCAATCTCCTAGTGTGAGTTTTAAGCTGCTGGTCTGGGACTTGAATCATGTCAATTGTGAGGGAGTCCAGCGATGTAATTGCTGTGCCACCTACTGGCCTTATTTTTAGTATCTGTTCCACAATTTCTTCCTTTTGTGTAGGAGGAAAATATTTGCTTTTACCTGTCCTTTTAAGCTGAGCTCCTCTTTCTGTGTTCTGACTTCTGTTATCTGTACTTACGCTTTACATCAAGGATAGATTTTAACTTGGATTTCAAAATCATAATTTAGGCTTTTAGATTTTGTCTGGTATTCTGAAAGTTGAGAGTCAGGAAGTAGTGTTTACTAATATTATATCTCTGTCAGAACAAACACAGAACTTAGAGTATACTGCTGTTAATAGACATGGGCCAAAGTTAGCTTCTATATATTGGCCCTTGTGTTGTCTGCTTATTCACAGCAGGCCAGGACCGTTAGCTCAAAGCCCTCTGGTGTCAAACTTGCATTCTTATACATAAAATTGCTTTACATATAGTCAAAAAGTATACTTTTAGCCATTGAGAATGTAGGATGATTATAAGCTCGTGGCCAGCATAGACAACATAGCAATACCCTGTATAAAAGAGGTGAGTATGCTAGTACACACCTGTAGTTCTTGCTCCTCTGAAGGCTAAGATGGGAGGATCATGACATAGCAAGATCCTTTCTAGAAAAGCAAATCAAGGGGACCAGCAGGTGTTGTGGTGGTTAAGGAGCTGGATTCTCACATGGCTAACCACGGTTAGAGTCCTGGACCAGCTGGCAGCTTGAAATTTACCCTGGGCATGTGTGTGTGTGCATACCCAAAATCCTGAGGGAGAAACGGAGGAGAAGAGATGGTGGCATGGCCATCTCCCTGGCAGTGATTTCTCCCTTTCCCTCTCTCTGTCTCTCTTTGGCTAGCATATGTACCCCATGTCAAAAAATAAAAAAGTGAGGCAAAACAAAACTCAAACATATTGCTGCTTTTCTGATCTCTGACCTGCAGACTCCTCACTTGATATTGAATGCCATCACCGAAACACTTATGCCCCACCTTAGATTCCCTTGTGTTTTAGGAGTTCCATTGGCAATTCCACTTCTGAGTGGTGGCCCTGAATGTGCTGTCTCTGCAGTTACTTATTTATTTATTATTATTGTCATTTTTTTTTCATGTGAGTTTTATCAGAGAAAGAGAGAGAGGGCGAGTGAGAAAACAAGCCACAAGTTCTGGGACTCGAACCATTGTTGGCCATGTGGGAATTCCTGTGCCTTAACCATCATGCCACCTGTTGGCCCCAGTATTGTTTTTGAAATACATATTTTTCTGTTATTCTGTCTTTTAGTTTAGAGGCTTTTTTTGTTGGACATTTCAGGTTAAGTTTATCTTCTTATAATTTTCAATTCAGAAGTTAAATTATTAATGTGCTTGAACTAAAAACAAAGTTTTTGTTTTTATTAAATTTAGCGGGCTTTTATTTGTAATCTGACTGTTGATCTCATATTTTTATAGGCCGAAGATAACCAGATTGGATTTTAAGAAGAGTAAATTAACCCTGGTGGTTGTAGAAGATGATGATCAGGTAGGAATTATATTGCATTATTTATTTAACAACTGTGTTTTATGGTAACTTAAAAGGGTGAATGTATCTTGTTTTAGAGAGCCATAGAACAGAAACTTAGTATAATTGATATACAAACTAATTCCCTGATTCAGGTCAAAATAGAGTTTTCTGCCCTTAAGACATTTTTTATTTTAATAGAGCAGTCTTTTTTTTATTTATTATTATTATTTTTAATTTGCTTTAGGGCACATGCACTCACCAGAGAGAGACAGAAAGAGCAAGAGAGTGAGAAAACAAGCTGCCAGGTCCAGTATTCGAATTGCAGTTAGCCATGTGGGAGTCCAGCACCTTAACTACTATACCACTTACTGGCCCCAGCTGCCTTAATCTCTTATTTATTTATTTTTTGGAGAGGTTTTTTGCTATAAGGCATGCACACTCGCCAGATAGAGAGAGACAGAGAGAAAGCAAGATATCACCCCTCCTGAGGGGATGGTCACACCACAAACCCTTCTCCTCCATTTTCCTGTTGGGATCTTGGGCATGCACGCACACGTGCCCAGTGTGAGTTTAAGCCCTGGGTCCGGGACTCGAACCACAGTCAACTACGTGGGAGTCTAGCCATTACATCATCTGCTAGTCTCCAGCCGCCTTAATCTCTATGTCACCTGCTGGCCCTAATAATCTTTTTAATAGCTATAAATGTCAACATTTGGTCCTATATATTTATTCTTTTATTTCTCTTTAGTGGACATTTTGTGTTCATACTCTTTTTTGTTGATCCCTTAAAGGTGAAAATGGAAGTGTAGGG